GGAAAAGAATAGGATCCAGAGAACTATAGACTGGTCAACCTCACCTCAGTCCTTAGAAAAATCATGGAACAAGTCTTCAATTAATCCATTTCTAAGCACTTGGAGAAGGTGAGTACAAACAGTCAGCATGGATTCAGTAAAGGCAAGTCATACCTAACTAACCTGATTGCCTTCTATGACGAGAAGATTAGCTCTGTGGGTGCAGAAAGAGCAGTAGATGTGTTCTAACTTGACTTTAGCAAGGCTTTTGCTACAGTTTCCCATAACTTTTTTCAAAAGAGATGTAAAGAAGTACAGGTTGCATGAATTGACTGTAGGGTGAATAGAAACTGCCTGGATCATAAAGCTCAAAGGGTAGTAATGAATGGCTCAATTACTAGCTGGAATCTGGTATCAAGTGGAGTGCACGTTCAGCAAGTTTGGTGGGTGGAATAGTAGATATGGTGAGGGTAGGGCTAGAATTCAGAGAGAACTCAACAAATTGGAGGATTGGACCAAAAGAAATCTCATGGGGCACATCCACACATGCAAGCATGTGTGCTTACAGCAGCTCAAATAGAAGCGGTGCAAATTTGAGCCGGGGCTTTTTTGCCTTAGCGCATGTGCTCGGACATGAACTTTCTTGTGCAGCAAATTGTGCCACTTGGGGCAAAATAACCGTGCCTGGCTCCTCCCAGATCTTCAGCCAGGGGGAGCTAGAGCCCAGGGCCAGCACCTGTGCTGTCCCCAGCAGTATAAAAAGCTGCCCTGTCTTGGCCCCAGCAGTATAAAAACCCACCCTGGCAAGTAGCTCAGGGCTACTAGCTCTCAGGAGCTTCTGGGGCCCAGCCAATTGGTACCTGGGGACACCACCCCTTGTGCCAGCTGGACTGCTGAAGCAGCCCTGAGAGTTCCCTGCACCCTCTACCCACTGCAACAGTCTGGCAGTGGGGGCTGCTGCCTGGCTGTGACCTGCTGCACACCTGCCAGACTCAGATGGGACTGCAGAGCCATTGTGGTGGCCTTCTTTCAACTGTCAAAGCATGTCCTCCTGGCCTCATTTGTCCAGGAGGTCAGCCACAGCCAGATGGGTCCAAGGTGCCAGCTCTGAGCAGGCAGGGTCCTGCCACTGGCCTCCCTAGCAGGAATTCTGGTGTTCTCTATTGGAAAACTGAAAAATCCTTGATAAAAAAAAATATCCCAAAATCACTCTCTAAAATATCCCCAAATCCATGTTCCTCCACAAGTAAAACAAAACAACACTATAAAGAGATAAAGAGAGTGAGACGGAGACAGCAATCAGCTGGACAATGTTTTATTGATATATCTACAGTGTTAAAGCAAGTCTCTTATCATAATAATAAAGTGAACTCTAAATACAGGTTTAATGAATTCATGAATACATATTTTGCTGCTCTCCCAGCAATGGCCCCCACACAAGGGGTTGGGCCCCCACACAAGGGCTATGGCCCCCCAACA